AAGTCCCATATGTTAGTGATAAAACTTATCTTGGCTGGGTTAGCTTTCTAAACAATAACAGGGCTTAACGTCCAATATTCTTTTTTATTAGACGCAATAGCGGGAACTGGGTGTTAGTCGTACCGTTATTTACATAACACTGTAAAATTAAACTGTTGAATTTATCTTTAACCCATTTATAACGAGAATTTATGGATGCGACATATAATTATGAAAGCTAGTTTTATTCTAGTCGCTGGCCGTTTGAACTTCAAGGATAGGGTAATCCACTACTCATCTCGATGGCGGTCAAGGGGTATTTAGTCAGAACTCATCAAACTTGATACTGCAGAGATGAACGTATATAAATAGATGTTTCTGTCAGTTCTGAAACATTTACATTGAAAATTAGATATAAATATTGATTGGAATTAATGTCAACACTATACTTACGTGAATTAAGAATTAAACAAATTTTAATTTTCCTTGGATCAAAATGTAATCAAATATTATATTTTTCGCAGAGTCAATTATGGAAAGCATTCAGATTTTTTACAGCCTCGACGTCAATAAAGAAATAAGTCTGGACTGAATAACCACTCGCCCACCCGTGTTCACATTGACGCACAGTTCTAATTTGTTGAAGGAGGGGTGTCAAAGAATACCGCGGTTCTGCCCCCACCCCCACTCACACACACACACACACACACACACACACACCCTGCTAACGTAACCAATATAAATAAATATATGCGTAGCTTAGGCTCAAAATGACATAATTAATGTGGTGACTTGGGGGGGGGGGGGTAAACCCAAATCTATTCCATTTATTGGATTGTTGTTTAATACCTGTATAATTTGTTTTTACAGTGTTACTATAGAGTCTGGTTGAGTTTATATTTTTACCACATGTAAATACTTACATCATATCTATTATAAATAAACATAGAACTTCGCCTGTAGCATTCTGATAACAAACTATTCCCTATAGTACCTATATACATACATACACTTACAGTTGTTTATTGAAACATCTTGTAGATGAACTTTTAGTTTATCAGAAACTCGTGTGCGTCTTGGTTATAATTGTAGCCTGAAGTTTTGAATAATTAAAATCTTGAGACAGATGTTTTGCGGTTGTTGTAAGATCTTATGCAACGATTTTAAAGGAAACGAACAAGTAGCTTATGTAAATACTGTCCTGTTACCGTTGAGGACAGGTTAAAATGTTAGGAACAGGAATTCATTAATTCAACAATACGTGTGCATGTAAACTTATAATGTTTTTTTTTTATTTTACTATGCACGTTTGCGATATTATTATGTATGCTTTTCTGGTGAAGACCGGTATCAGTTGTTCTAAAAATAATATGCATACCATGTCTCGTGTACGACACCCGTGAGGTTTAAGATTTATTTGATAATCTGCTATACTTTAGAGAAAGCTCTTTAATTATTGCGAATAATGGGATATACATGTATATGGTGGGCACAAAATGCGGTTTGGTATTTCGTTAAAGTTCAAAGCAAATCATGTTGAAACAAAATGTGTTATGAATTTATTGCAGTAAGAATTTGATATTTTGCTATGGTTTAAATCATTGATATTGCTTCCAGCTATAGCTTCCAGATATCATTGGATACATCTTTATTTCAAGCTTGAGAAAAGTCTGTCTAGTTTTAAATACAATGTAACCATATCAATATATTATAATTCTGATATAGAACGAAACTTGACAAACATAATGGTGCAGGATCATAATACTGTCTGGTTGTACTTAGATAAAGGATGGCACTGTTTACAAATTCATCATGTCAGGTTTTGATACGGTATATGATACAATATCAACACGTTCTTTCTACCCCTAGAGTATAAACCTTGTCTATCTTTTACTTACAAGTATACTTATTAACGACAGGGATAAACAGATAGACTCTTCTGGTACTTATGTATGTAGACATTTAAAGTGCATGAACCCAACATAGTTAGACATATATTTTTAGTTTAAAATCTTATTCAGTTTTCCCGGTGGCTTAAAGTTGAATTATGTAAGAGCTAAATCTGTCTATTGTCTATTGCGTGTAATTTTCTAACTTTAAATGTTTTTATTCTACTCTTTAGACATTGGGATGGCCAAGATATTGAATGTGTTAGAACACCCATGTCATATTATAATTTAACCCTTAAATGAATAATCGAGTGTGTGTTTATTGTCGTAGCAATGGTATTTGACAATCGAGACTATTTACGCGTTTTCTTATCTAAACATCATTTTTTAATGGCGTTGAATTAACAGTGCAAGATGGCTGTCATTCAAACTCGTGTACTTTTCGGATATATATAATATATATATATATATATATATTAAAAACTAGAAATTCAATTAATCATCACAATTTAATTAGCTAACAAAAATTGATCAATTACTAGAAATTAGCATAAGAATAGATGATATATTGACGCTAAGAACTATAGAACATATCATAAGCATAGGTTGATTGGATAGCAAATTGATAATATATCTAAGTTAAGAAGAAAATATATGGATATAAATTGTAATTATTGGTGAAGAAATTGACATTATATGTCTAGACATTATATAATTATATAATCCGTGTAATTAGATGAGGATGGAGATGAAGACATCTCTAATTAAATAAGCACCATTTCGGTTATATTGACAAGAAAGAAACAAGTCCTTCTTCAATTTAGCTTCATTGATAGTTTTCGTCAAATGTGTAAGTCTAAATTTCTGTCTTGCATTGAATTTTATAGCAAAATTCTTTGGTAGATAATTACATCTATTTGAGAGTTCGTCCACTTTTGAAACCGAATGATACACAGACCCTATAGAGCTAAGATTGATTTCTGACAAAAGTAACCTTGTCTGTACCTTTAACCCAAATCAATACCCAAGAGTTGGATTAGCTTGCTTATTTCAAAGACTGACAAATCGTATCTGTCATAATTTTTGAGCTACTCTTGAAAGAAACAATGCTTATACTATTACAGCCTAGAAATCTTTCTCGATGCCATGGTTTCCTTATATATTGATTTAATTAAATATGAGCTCAATTAGACCAATATTTTATCCCTTTGGAATTGTAGCTGGTCCTTCCCAATGCAATCTAGCTTTTATACAAAACACTATTGCTCTTTAAAGTTAATGCCTGCATTCTCCGCTTCAGACGATAACATGAAGGTAACAACTTCCTGATCGTCGTCTTAATTAATATCATCATCGTAATCATCAAAGAGAAACCCCTGTTTGGAACCAGATACAAAGCATTCTCTAGGACGGTTGCTTATTGATATATAATACTATGATTATTTACATAAATAAAGTATCATATATAGGTGTATCAACAGGTTTACACTGAGGTCCGCGTTGTTTTTGTATTAAGGTTAGCTCTAACAGGTGCTTGGCATCAAACAGGTGTGATACATCTCCATGTGTATATATATATAACAGAAGACATATCATATTTTACTGCTAGACTGGTATAGGATTTACCTCCATTCATGACGTGATGTCCCCATGTGGATATATATGGGCGTAAATCTGAATTGTATATCGAACTTGTTTTTCGTTGAGACTGAACAGACATTCTTATAAATAATTCAAATCTACATGTATACTTATATAAGAAATTTCGATTTTCTTGAGTAATTATATATTTGGCATTTAAAACTAGATCCTATAGACAATTGTTTTTCTTTCTTTTTTAGATACACCCTTCTTCCATTTCATTCTTCGCATACTTGTCAGACAAAAAAATCTAAAGTATGGAAATCTCTTCTGTCAAAAAATCGTCTTTTAGGACTTCATTGTATTTGTTTATGGGGTTTTGTGTATTCCATTTAGATCTACAATGAAGCATACAAAAATCGATTCAATACAGGCTTTTTTACACTTCGAATCTTCAGAATTCCAATGCAACGTAGCATAAAAAATTACTTGGTTTTATTGTTTTCTTTATTTGCAAGATGGTGAATAAGACATTTTCTCTTTTTTAAATCCTTAATATTCTGTGTACGAGGTAGTTTAATACAAAAAAGTGTATTAAATGCAGTGAATACTATTTTTTTCTTTCTTTTAAAGATGTTATATAGTATTAAGTATATAAAAGATGATGAATAAAATGTTTAAAAAAAGGCTTCTATCAGTTTTACGAGGGCGTCAGATGTATATGTAGGCTATATATTAAAAAAGATAGCTGCCATCTATGAAATAACTCGACGTAAACTATGTGTCATATTAGAATTACAAATACATTTACTAAATGTCAGGAAAAGAATTTTAGAGATTAACCGATATGTGTTGTAAGACATTTTAAGATGACAAGGGTCTCCGCGAATGTGTGATTTAAGTGTTAGGGACTTGATAGATTAGCGTAGGAATATTCAGGTGGTAAAGCGTGTGATTTGTTACTACGCCAACAGACCGGAACTATAGCTAACTGTAGTCTCAAAGCTTGTTAAATTGTTTTCATGGATGTCTTTAGGGAACACATCTGTTTTATGCTGTTATGTTTCAGTGCGTTGAGTTGGTATTGAGGGAATATATCATATATAGTAAGCTGATTCGATAATGGAAAATAGATTAAGATAAATTGACTTAAAAGTTTATCCCTCTTGGTTCTAGTTCATCGCATTCACTGTTTCGGTGAACTACGTCAGACAGCGGCATTTGGAATATTGAAAGTTGTTCATTGTTTCCATTTGTTTCTAAGATGTGATCTAAGATGAATCCATAACCAACTTCTTCGAATCCGGAAGACTTTAGTAGATCAACGGTGACATCCATGTTTCTCTCTTTTGTCGGAATGATGGTGTAGAAGTTATGGAGCCTGGCTAACGCTTTTTGTGCTCGTAATTCTAAGAAATCTTAGTTTAGATTTTGGGTACATACTACATCTTGATGTCGTTAAACGGTGCCATATTTTTTAGATTTTAATTTGTACGTCCATTAAAACCATTGTTCATTTGCTTAATATTTTTTTCTATTTGTATTTTTCAGAATGTGAAGTCATCTACGTGGTTTAATGAACAGCCAAAAGTCTCTATCATTCCTAGGCCTCATCATGGCGGAAGTGCCCTTTGACCCTGTTCTACGGTCATTCTGGGAACGATTTCCCTGTCCGCCATCTTGGAATAATGACCTGCTGTTCCGGACTAATTGGACTTCCTGTGTAGCCCCGAGTGTAGGGGAACGGATTATACTGTTTATGGCCGACAAATGTGGAATTAAGAATCTGCCCGATCATTTCATACCCCAAAAACCTCAAGACAACCGAGGAGATATGCTAGAAGACACCTGTACTTTAAATTGTCAAATTATTGTGGCTTTAGTGTGTGTTTTATTTGTGGTATTAACAATCACTGGAATAATAATCATAGTTTATAGGTTAGTATTGAGTTTCGTTTTATTTTACCATAAAAAAACTATTATGACTTATTTCTTGTACAGCTGGTCAACACATATACACAAATATGGCAGCAGTTTTGGAATAAGACTACTAAACCCGATTCTTAACCCGTATTCGCTGCACATGCAATGCAGGTAAAAGGATTGTTGGGCGGATTCTCCTATTTAGCCAAAGGATGACGCCTTTTACTATCTAAGATCAACCATATGGAGTCTAGTCAAATTAAATTAAATAATACAGAACCATTCATAACAAACAGCCATCAACGTATTTAAATTCAAAATATATAAATCTGAAATACAAAACAAAATGCAACAAACTCGAATTACAGGTACACAGTCTTTGAACTAGCAACGCCCTTTACTAAATCGTGCGACATTGTGTGTTATTAGATGCACTAATGTCCTTTCTTATCTTAACTTGTGTCAAATGCAAAGACACACCCTGGTACCGTTATGACCTTCTTTAAATGAACATAAACAATGGTATAAGATAAGAACAAATCGATGGTATTAAAAGCATATTGATCATGACCAGATGAGCAAGAAAAAAGACACCAGAGTATCTTCCCATGGTGTCAGACCTGCCGATCTTTCTACGCCCGTGTACCGTTATAATTAGAAGTATTAACAATATGGTCATGGAAGAGAATCTTCAAAGGTAGTAAACTCCACCTTATCGCGTGTTCGAGAATCATTGATCTGACCCATCACATTTTAAACGACCTAATTTATTTATTTCAAAGACAATACAAAACCTCTTATCTGCCCATGTCTCTAATTTCTACCTCTGACCTGTCGGCCGACATTTAACGACGTTGTTGCGTTGTGTGTTGTTCTGTAATTGGTTATCTCGAGTTTCAATCCCCGTGATTACAGGTTTGATTAATGGCCCTTTCTTCTCTAAATATAGTAAATGAAGTACAGACAAGATTGTAACTGCCAACCAAACTAACACGTGGTGCCAACAATGTCTGATTTTAAAATCGACTTTTATGTGAAAATTATTTTAGGAAGTCGACTAAGAGTTCATTATCTTGACTTATTGTTTCCCTTTATCTAAAAATAATAAAGTACATACTAGGTGGTTCCATTTTGTAAATGTAGGTCGTGCACTCTATTATTATGAATAGTTGTTCACGTATTCGTCGAAGTGTTGTGCTCAGTGGTATGCAGATGTTTGGTGATGTCACGTAGTCGTCGAAGTGTTGTGCTCAGTGTTGTGCAGATGTTTGGTGCCAACTCCTTCATTGTATCTCCCCCTCCCCTCTCCACCGACCCCCGTCTAGGGCCTAGTACTCAGAAATATGAGAAATAGCGACATTTTATATATAAAACGTATAAAATTAACTTTTATCCAAATTAAGTATCGGTAACTTCATATTTTAAAAAGCGTAATTTTAATTTCACCTTTTATTGGATGGTCCCTATCTCTGTCCCCTCTCTCTGCCGACCACTGCGCGCATACTCCTGAAAGTGTTGTGTTTTACAAATCTGCGCGTTGCGATGCCGTGCCTTGTTTGCTTTCGCCGGACAGTGTTACTGGCCAGTTAAATAAATCATCACATCTTTGTCTCACTCTTCGTCACTTTACATAATTATAAAATGTTATGCATGCGATACTTTTATCTAAAATTGGCTTAGTACAGGTTTTCGTGAATATTGCTGCTGTTAGAATTAGTTATTACCAGGACAAGAAAATTAAAAGTGCTCACAATTGGAAATATTATTGCAAAATAAACTTATCACATATAAATAAAACAATTTCATAAAACATTTATTAAATCTCCGAGTTATACATGTGCTTAAAATCAATTTAAAATTTTTAACCAACAAATCCTTCAAGGAGAATTGTTGGCATGCACTATATCTAGAAATATCTCTCTAGAAATCAGCAGGGGATATGTCAATATAATGGACTGTCTTAATGATATGCTGTCGTTTAAGGTATGTTAATGTCGTGTATTACCGGGGAAACATCGGATATGCAATGTTCACTTTCACTGATGCAAGAAATACACAGAACATCATTGCCCAGACCGCATTTATTGAGCTATATACATGTATATAGTTTATCGCAGACGGATCGTCATTTCAAACCGATACACACTCTTCCGCTTTCAAACGAATTTCAAGATGATTTAAACACAAAAGAAAGACACTGAAATTTGGTGATCGGCCAAAATTATAATCGTTTTGCCAGACAAAGTTTGGTCAATGTTATATCCAGATTTTGTAACAGCCGGATTGGTGCGTTGTGTAAATATGTATACCAATGTAAATACATCATCAACTATGTTCTCACATAAATATCGCGTTTGCATTCGTTACGTTTATCGAAAGTAAGGTGATAAAATACCTCTTTGCACATTCTTATCTGACTTCTACCTACACGACAATTACACTGATAACGGCATCAAGCCAAAGAATGGGGCCCGTTGTTACTTCAGCTGTCCGGCTATTCAGAGATGTCAAGTTTCAAGATTCTGCCTGTCAACTTGATTCACTCATTAGAATGAAGAATTAGCACGCTGCTTATCTCGGTTCATTTTTTTATGCACATACTTTCTTATGTAGATCAACATTAGATAAGCCTAATAAATATGTTTGTGCAACGCCAGCTCCTAATGAGCCATTTATATTTAATATTGTTGGGAAAAACATGTACGATTGCGTCTGCTTCTAAAACATTGATACTAGACTATTTCCGAACGGATCTAGATTTAATGCAATCCAATGCATACTCAGGGTATCATTTCTTTATTCAAAAATTGATGCCAGTTGTCTAACACAGCTACATGTAGATTTAAATTAATTCTGATAATTTTATTCATTTGTTTTTAGGAAAAGAAAATGTAAGAGGAAATCGAGCCCACCCCATCCTTCTCGTCCTGGTGATAAAATGTTCACAGCTGGTTCAGTCAGTAGTCGAAGACAGGTTTGTTCAGTTATTTATACTTTATATAAAAAGTTAAGATATAATGAGGCACCCTTGGCGAAACCCTCGCCGATGGAGATTTACCCAGATTTCGTATATTTCTTAATTCAATGCTTAGAAAATAATTTCTATTGTTGTCCATTTATTTTTAAAAAATTGTGATGAAATATTTTGTCTATTGTAATATCACGTTTCATATTTACGTATTTCTTTCCTTTTGGTATTCCTGTCCAACCTCGTGGGTTTTCTCCGGGTCCTCCGGTTTCCTCCCACTGCTAAAGACCCCTACGCGCAAGCGAATTATTGAAATAAAATCAAACCATATGTTAGTCCCGAAATGACCTAGTTTGTGTCGAGTGGACGTTAAACCCCATCTCTCTCTCTCGCTCTCTCTCTCTCTCTCTCTCTCTCTCTCTCTCTCCTTTAGGTATAAGCATTGTATATGTACACCTGGTATATTGTATACCGCTTTATGAACTTCTCTTTTTTTAAATCTAATGTTTGGGGTTTTTATTTGTCTATTTCAGCCACAAAATCACATTCCGCCATCATCTCATTTCCATGCTGATCCAAACCAAAATCCGTTGTTACGACGGCCTTTGCCTCCATTACCAAACAACTGTCATTTTGCCAACTATAGAATTCTACCCGATGGAGACAATTCGTCCTCTTGTGCCAGTCACAGTACCGGTGGGCAATCGCCAGTGTATGAATACATCGATGATCAAAGTGTTCATTATGGCTGTCAGCCGTGTCACAGACATTCAAGAGAAATCGCTTGTGTTCCTACGCGACACAGTAACCGTAATTCTCAGGATCTAATTCGTTTTAGCTTTGGTCATCCAGCCAGTGCGTATAACGACGATCCCGGTGATGAGATATGGTTCGATGAACAAGGTCGTCAGTATAATGCCCCGTGGAACGATCGGCAACTTATTAACATGTTTAAAGAGGTTGGATGTCACCCCCCTAGAGTACCGCGTGACATGATGCCACCACCGCGTAGATCTCAGAGTGGTCATAGACTTTCACGAGACTCCAGGGAAATGATGCCGTTCTGTGGTTGTTCTGAAAGACTTTCCTTTGACAATAATTATCGCAGTGATCGAAGTGATACGGATCTGAGTGACCGCGGTACACAAACATTGTCTGGTGAAACACAATTTGGAAATAATCCAAACGACGTTTCCGGTGTAACTATTCACTATAATCCGCGACATTCACAAGGATTTCAAGATGGCCGTCGGAGAACTCCGTCCAGGGGTAATAACTCAAACAGACACAGTAGAACGGAAATGCAATTTTCACCATCTTGTGATAGATTATCAGCGCGAGATAGTTCCGACAGAAGACCAATTCCAGCCATACATGCAGATTATTTCTCTTCAGAGGCATGACAAAAAAAGAAACTGGACAATACACGCGTGTGAAAATATAAGATTGTGAATATGAAACGAAACGAAACGAATAACATGTATTTTTATTTGAAGAGTGATCGCTAGTCTTACAAGTGCTATAATTGATTTGTGCCGTATGTATGAACATCGTAATGGTTTTCTGTTTATAACCAAAACAATTTTGCTCAGAAAAAAACTACATAAGTGTATTAGGCTTTTATTAATTCGTCATATGTGTAAAAGTATTTCATCTCTACGAAATACCGTGTCATAAAACGCGGTGAATGAACACTTTAAAAATGCATAAAATGTGTAATATTTAGTGTAATGTGAAACTGCAATTAAGCCTATTTGTGAAAGTGAAGTGCATATCAAAACTGTATAGTTTCTTTATAATAACACTGCTTTATTTTCTTAATACGAAGCATTCGTTTATTATCATATCTGCAGATAAAACAGCAGAAAAAAACATCGAAATTACTATTATTATATGACTTATTTATTCAGCTACCAATTACCTAGAGGAGTTAGTCTGTATTTCTCCTTTAACTCAAGTATAATTCACAAAATTATACAATTAATATTTGACTTATTCGTAAATATAGATTTTAGGACAATTTCTGTTAAAACTGCTATAATTTCTAGTGAATGTGAATATTGCAAATATTTATTTTAATTAAGAGCTAATTTCATAATATTCATTGATCATATCAATATAATTATGTTCCATGGCATCAGACTTTATTTTCCATATCCAATGTTTTTTTATAAAAGTATTTGAAATGAATGGCTAGAGTTTTTACAGAAACGTGTATGATGTGTTCAGAATTCGTGAAAAAATCTAAGCAGGATGTTTGTCAGAATTATATTCGACCGTATAGAATTCTGTGTTTTTATGGAGGATAATACTACAAATAAGTCAAAAGAGATTTACCGTTATTAAAAGATAACGCCAACCAAAGTCTTTCCGAATATAAGATAATATATTATATTAATATATAATAGAAAATGATGAAGATGATTATCTATATAAGTATTGTGTATATATATTTCCTATCAAATTTGTATAATAGATTTATATATATAATAATTTAACATGTAAACACATGAATAAATATTTATTACAAATTAAAACTTGTCTCGTTAAATGAAGGGGCGCCGTTGAAAATAGGACATAATGTCTAATAGCATTTGGGGTGGGAGCCACGGTGGCTAAGTGAGTAAGACGCTTGCTCGCTAACCTGTAGGTCGTGGGTTCGCTCCCGGTGTTGGCCGAGAAAGTTCATCGGGATTTTCCAGAGCCAGACAAGGACAGTCGTCTAGTCGTTCTGATGGGCCGGAAAACCAGGTTCCCGTGTACACATTGGCGAGCACGTGAAAAATCCCTTGACAGTTGGAATTCGATATAAGAGTAGACTTAAGCGAAGCTAGACAAAATTTCCCTCATAGCACATTGTATGGCGTTCGCCGTCTTCATTAGCCCAGTCGAAGCAGAACAGTCGGACATTAAACCCCATTTCGTTTTAGCATTTGGGGTGTTCTTGTGGGTTGTTTTCATAGGGAAACCACGATGGCTCGATGCGTAAGGATTTTCCAGTGTTACCGCTTGTCAGTGTTGCCGGACGAAGGGTCTGTCAAGGAACGGCGCCTATTTGCTCTGGTGGGACGAAAACAAAGGTCACCCGTACGTTGGCATGCATGTAGAATAATCCTTTTGGCTGTAACGCCGCTGTCCGTGCAATATTTTCCACATAGCACACAGCATGGCGTATGTCCATCTTCATTAGCCCAGTTGGTGCAGAAAAGTAGGACTTTAAACCCCATTTCATTTCATTATAATAATAGTTGATTAGAAGAATGATTTATGTAATTTTGTTGTGCGCCGATCGCCTAAATTGAGTCTTGGTTATGTGTGGTTTTCCAAACTATTTTATGAATATTTTTTGCCAAAACGATCAAATAGCATTAATTAAAGGTTTATTGCGATCTATGGATTTCTACGCGTGGTGTTCAGGAACGGAACGGATGACATTAGTATTATTAACTTGCGATAATGTAGCACTCTAAATCTTTTTCTCTTTCAAGCAATGCCGTGAAAGATACTTTAGGCAAGATTGACCTTTAGAAAAAATTTCGAATGACGCAGAGAAGAACTCTTTCCTCTTTGTTACAACAACCATCTGAAACTTATAGTAAATATGTTACGTGAAAATGTTGATTTTACTGCAGGTGACTCCCTGTGGATGCCAAAAAATGTATTAGAAACGCCCGAATATTTCGTAAGGCAGGCGGTCATGTATCAATGAATAGGCTTGGGTGGTTTGCTTCTTTTCACGTTATGGCGATCCTGGCTTGCTTTTTTTTACTTTTTTTTCTTCGGCAGTATTTTCATTTGGGCTAAACTTAGTAATATTCATGAACAAATGAAAGGTCCAGAAACTCGTCTGGGCTGCCAAACGCGCCACATACTTTATACCGTACATTTTGGGTTGGAGCCCGCCAGTGTTGTTTGATTCGGTCACTGAAGGTACAAGATAGACTCGCGGTGTGGTCCAAGTAGAAGCTTAGATATTTTCTAATCCCAGATCTCACTTGTCAGTTGGAAGCGGCTATGGGGACACCAGAGAAAGCGTGCCTAAAATGAAATGAAATAGAGTTTAACGTCCCACGTGTTTGCACCGACTGGGATAATGACGGTGGGCTTCTGACATGTAGTGTGCTATGAGGAACATTTTGCCCGGACAGCGGCGCTACGGCCTACTCTTATTTCGAATACTAACTGTCGGGGGATCTTTTACGTGCACGCCAATGTGTACAAGGGACCTCGGTTTTTCGTCCAATCCGACCGACTATACGTTGCCCCTGCCAGATCCTCCGTCATGCACCACTGACAAGGGGGAATCACACCGGAAAATCCAGATGAAGTTCCTCGGGCAACACAGGGATCGAACACGGGACCTCCAGGTTAGTTAGCGAACGTCTTACTCACTGAGTCACGGTGGCTCCCTGGGATGGTAGAAAAGCCGAGTTATTGTGTACAAATTCGTAGTATAAACTTTTCTTGACCATTAGAATACGAAGCTTTATAGACGCCAACGCCGCTATCCAGGCAAAATTCTTCAACTTGAACTGCTTTAATAGCAATAAAACCTACCGTATGTACGTCCAAAAGTAGAGTGCCGACAACCCCTTTTCATATACCATGAATATAGTATATATTATAGAACTTACCATTCATTATAAAATGATCTAGAAGTGAGAACTTTAAAGTCTCTGAATGTCAGTTCAAAAATGGTTCAATACAGATTTCCAAAGATGTGACGAATTGAAAATTTGTCAACATTCGACATCCTCTACAGACAATGTAAACGGGATATAGTCAAAAGTAATCTACACTAGAGTTATTTGGTGGACCTCTTGTTTTGCATCCAAGACGGGTGATCATTTACCGTTGATAATTTGATGTTAAATAGTTGGCAAATGCTGTACAGCGACGTTAAGGAAGATGGCTTTGGGAAATAGAAAGCTAATTATGGTTTTAGATGTGGATAGGCGGGTACGTGTGCAATTTCTGACATTGACTTCTGCTCATGATGAAGTGGCTTGTAAATACACTCAACTGACCCTTAACATGGCTGACATTCAGAAATTTTAAACACCAGTTGATGCATCAAACTGGCCAATAAAAGTGCAACAAAAAAACGCTGAAGGTTAATAGAAAATCCATCAGAATCTGAGGTTACAAGTACAGATAGTGATGTTAAAATCGATGGCGAGATATGGACGTTTAATCACTGACTACACGATCCATTAAAATCTGATCCTTTCTCAACTTAAATTGGTCTCATGTCGAGGCTGGATTGGCCCCCGCCACCTGGTGACCAAATCACGTGGTCTCACGTGACCCATTAACTACACGAGGGAACAAGTGTCAATTACACGTGTCGATTAGAATGTCTCAAGATGATGGAATTTTCTTTATAGCACGGATATTAACATGGAATGGTAATTACAAGTTAAGACCGGTTACAGAACGTACAACAAGAACTGAAGATTTTGTGATATTGATGTTTAGTGGCTTACAAGAAATAATACTTTAATTAATACCTTTCCTGTCAGGAAATTGGATAAACTGAATGATAAGTTTTTAGGTGATGGCTGGCTTTCGAAGAAGGTATTTTAGAAATGCATTCTAAGAAAGACGTCAAGAGAAATATTTTTTTATTGAAATTTCATTATCAGGAATTTACTCAGCACGACACGACTGAGTTTACGATGTGTAACTTTCAAAAGCCTAGCAAACAACAGTGTCTAGTCTTTCGGACGGTACGATAAACCGAGGTCGAGTGTACATGTTGGCATGTATATAAAAGAAGCTTTGACAACTGAAATTCAAAGTAAGAGTAAGCTATATCGATTTATCCGGACAAAATCTCTTTCATAGCACACTGTATGCCACAAGCCAAGGTCTTACGACATTAGTATATGATTTATATTGATATTGACGTATATCTAATCGTTAGTCGATGTTTGAAGAAAAGTTCCAATGTCTGGAAACAAGACAATAAACCCCACTGCCCTGGATTGCTGGGATTAAAAACTACTCTTTAAGAAGCCGCGGTGGCTCAGTGAGAAAGACGCTGTCCTCTAACCGGTTGGAGAAGAAAAATAGGACGTTAAACCTCATTTCATTCATTAATTCCTACTTTTTATCCGATGTATACTGCCAAAAGTATCTGTATTGAAGTTGTACACTGAAACAGCCCAATTCCACTGCTTCAAACACTATTTCCAGGGTAAAATACATAGCACATGCCATGATTGTTGATAATATTACACTAAAAATATAAAGACCAGACGATTTGTCTGTCCATGATTTGTTTTTAATATAGACAAATTAGTATAAAACAATAATAATAAATACAGTATGTTACATTGAAGCCCCAACACGAACTCGGAGAGCGCACGAATTAGTTTTTAATAAATAATTTAGTATCCAGATCATCTGATGAATCAAACCTAACACTAAAATCATTCTTAGAAAAGGTATCACTACTTGATGCTTCCGCCATATTGGTCTTACGATCGAAACTTGCCTCAGTTTCGTATTCGTCTGCGTCACTGTCTTGTGATACCGTTCGAATGTCCACGGGGTCACAATACACACTAGCACGAGATGTACTCGGGATGCTCTCATACGTGGCATCTTTTTTAAGTAGTTCCGGAGTAAATACACTACTGTCACGTGATAACCTGAACGCCGACCCTTTTATGGAGTCGTTTGAAAATAAACTACTATCACGTGACAGCCTGTTCGTAATCTTGCCTCGATCGGATGATTGAGAATTGGTCATCCCATCACGTGATGACGTTCCTGGGAGATTGTCACAAAATGTCCAATTTGTTTCACTTTTTCTTTTCTTGAGACTGTTAGAAAATTGGTTCTCCGCCATTTTGGCTATGTTCATGAGTTGTTGATTTAATGTATCATGGTATTCTTGGTCCACTACAAGTTGTTCGGCTGACATTGATTCGGGAGATGTATAAATATTTTGGAAGTTTTCTCGATCTAATAACATTATATCCATGCCACTGTCTTTCTTTCCCTGTAAATTATAAACAAATATCATGATTTATTCATTCTAAAACACGTAATACCAATTTCTTAAGTATTCAAGAAACTTTCAGATTGGTTAAAACTTACCGCCAGTTATCATTTTAGACTGAACTGTTTAAGATTCCTGTGATTAGAACTTTTGTGAATATGGGCCACTAATATTTCTGCACAAAGCAGAAAATATATGCCGTGTTCCATTGCTTCCGAAAGAAGTATAGTTAAACAGGGAGCCGTGGTGGCTAAGTGAGTTAGGCACTGACTTCCATATCAGGCGGTCTCGGGTTCGCCCTCCAGTATTTTCCGAGAAAGTTCCTCGTGATTTTCCGGCATGGTTTCTACTTGTCAGTGGTACATGGCGAAGGGTCTGGTAATACACAATGTCTAGTCGCGCGGGTGGGACGAGAAACCGAGGTATCCTTTACAAATTGGCATACACGTAAAAGAACCCTTGACAGTTTGAAATTGAAATAAAAGTGACCTGTAGGACGTTAAAGCTCATTTCATTTCATAGTTAAACATACATTATGCAAGAGCTAAATCTGTTTATTGCAGGTCTTTCTTTTGGCCTAAAATGTTATCTAAATTATTAATTAGACATTAATTAACTTATCCAGACCATAATCAACTCTAGATGGCATCGCTAGCCTGCGATCTTAAGTGGATTATGAGCCGATTTACTGCATAACTTTCCTTCACGATTTAACGATTAAATGTATAATCGAGACTATGCTATTTATCGTACAGACTTTAGTAATGATGATCGAGGCTAGCCGGAAATTTCAACCGCTTAGTTCTCGATTCATAGTGAATCAATTTGAATGAAATTTTCAGCAAATTGCCTTTACATTATCTAGTTTTTAACTATTATAGCGAGAACTGCCAACTCGTTATCGAATCTCCCATAATGTATCTTTAACTAATTGACCAACGCCTTTTCCAAATCCGGTGTGGTTTCCCCAGGTCAGTAATGCATGACGGAGGGCCTGACAAGGACAGCTGCCTAGTCGTAGGGATATGATGAAAAACCGAGGTCCCCTGTACAAATTGGCGCGTACGTAAAAGATCCCTTGGCAGTTGGAATTCGATATAAGAGTAGGCCGTAGCGCCGCTGCCCGGGCAAAATTTCCCTCATAGCACACTGTATGGCGTATACCCGTCTTCATTAGCCCAGTTTAGGAGCGAAACAGTAGGACGTTAAACCCCATTTCATTTTCCTTTTCCAAAATATTATCAATTTATTTCTAGCTGTACTTTCCAGCTGCCGGGGGAGGGAGGGGGAGGGGTTAAGAACTAAACAATCTATAGACGATAGAGATTTGGTCAGTGATTGATGACTGTTTTTTACAATTTAGGATGTCTTCGTGACAGTGTCGCATCATATTATCTTCAGTACAGGGTGTCTGAATTGTGATTTTACAAATTATGGTCAATAAAATAATATTCCTACCTTCTTTTTTATTACTGGACTATTACCCTGCATACAGCTGGTATAATATTTTCTGTCTGTTGTCGAGTTTAAGGCTGTTTGATGAGTCGGACTAAAGTCGGATTTTCTACGACGTTTTCTGAAAATAGAACAAAAATGGACGGTATGAATAACAAATTCGGTTACTTTTGCAAACTATTTTCCGCCATCCAAAAGCCCCACAAGTGTAATATGATACTTAGCATGCCCTAAACACCACATCATCTGTATCAGATAATTAGGCTACAACATATTGTCTTTGACAAGTTGATGACAAGATTCTCTTCGACAGAACTGTATTGTCTGTGGGGGTCGCATTCCTACATTTAAGGAAAAATGGCTAATTTCCACCTAGTCCAAGCACTGTATACGCACAGGCGATGTATTGGAATAAAATTGTGCCACATTATGTTAGTCCGAAATGCCCTAGCTTGTGTCAAGTGTATGTTAAGAGTCTATTGCACAAAGTAATTGTTTTAAAATTGTTTTTAAATAAGCTTCGTATTCTTGACCCCTAAGAGAACATGAATTAAAATAAAAGAGGTTTTACGCCCTACTTTTCTGCACCGACTGCAGTGTATTATGAAGGCAATGGTTCGTTTGCGTACACACCAATAAGTACACGCTACCTCGGCTTTTTGTCCCATCCGAACGACTATACGTTGTCCTTTGCCAGCCCCCCCCCCCCCGCCCTACAACACTTTGGGTGAAGCATGCATTTATTATTACAGGTCCGGGACTGTACAACCCAGTTGACGTTTACGGCTGACCTCCGGACCCATTTGATATTTGTTGTTTATTTCTTACAATGTCTATGTAGTGTGTCTTGTCCGCAGGTTTGTCTTATCGGTTTTGTTTTTGCGTGGAGTGCGGTTCTCCTGCATTTACTATTAGAAAACAACAAAGATGTCAAATTCTAGACAAGACTATCTAAAGAATCTCATTCATAACATGCAGAATAATGTCAGACAAAGGAAATTGTAAGAAGGAAAATATTTTCACCGTAAGTGAAAACCACGCAGTGAAAGTGAAGGTCGGGAAGACAGAAGTACGAACTCTTTGTAAGAACATCAAGAGTCAAAATATGGAATTTCTTTGAACCCCAGGAGCCCGTGTCTGTTTATTTTACATCTATGCACGAGGCTATGCACGAGCGATTCCCTTCTACAACGGTTGTACCAGACAAGAAGAATTCCAACTAACTATTCCAGACTGTTAAATGTTTAAGTGATGAAATGAAGCCAGTTATTGAGATTCCTGCAGTTTAAAACCGTTTAAACAGATGTAATAGCTTCTTGCACCAAGTGCTCCACTCGCTACCCCACCGCTAGATGACGCTTTAGTTTCGGAACAAAGAAAACACGAGCCGTGGTTTCGTATCACTTATCAAAATAAACGGCAACAGCTCAACAAACATGTCGGCCGTGTGGATGTTCATCGATAGATACATCGAGAAGTAGAGATAAGATTTATAAAAACAAATAGAGATTTACACCTTGATTACATTACTATCTAATAGTTTCCTCTTTCCATGGTCAGCCATTTTTATCATTCTAGACTCAGCGTACCATACACTACAACGAGCTTAAAACATTCCTTAAAGCTGTTTATAATTAGTTTGTTTATCGAATATTCAACACAATTCCACCATACGATTTCTCATTTTGTTTTTGGAAGTTCACAATTAAGATTTAATAGTTTCTTCTTTCTCTGGTTCTGGTAAGCCATTCTGATCATTCTGCAGTCAAAGTACCCTTCACCACAACAAGCTTAATAACATTCCTTGGACATGCGTCTTATAAATTTGTGAAAAACAAATAAACGTTATTCTTTTCTGCACCGATTGGACTAATGAAGACGGACATACTTCTGCGGTCCACTCTTATTTCGAATTTCAACCGTTAAGGTTTTTCTTCGCGTACGTCAATGTGTGTACACGAGACCCCGTGTGTTCGTATCACCCGAACGACTATACGTTGTCCCTTGCCAGGGCATCCGTCCTACATTATTGAGAAAGTGGAACCCACGCCGGAAAATCCCGATAAAGTTTCTCGGCCAACGCTGGGATCGAAAACGAGACCTCCAGCTTAGTGAGCCAACGTCTTACTCACTGAGCCACCGTGGCTCGCCTGTAAATTTGCTGTTCGAATATTCAACAGAATACAATCATACCATTTCTCTTTTTGTTTGGGGGATGTACAATTAATATTTTCTATTATACGTCTGTATATTATACGCCGCTCATAAGAAGGTATAGCATTCACACACACTGTATGACACGATGATGTCATTTTTTTAATCTACAGTTTCTGAAGAATGACATATTGCATGATCAAAATAATAAAATTCATCACAAATCTTCTAATTTGTGGATCTTTATCCAAACTCGTTTGACATTTGTCTAATTTACCAGTATTTGGAATATATTTTATCTAATATTAAAGATACATTATGTAAGATTTAGATAAAGGGCTGACCATTCTTGCTATAATAGCTCAAAAATAAATAATGTAAAATGAAAATATTGAAAATTTCATTCAAATTACTTGGGCCTGACAAAGACAGCTGTCTAGCCATTCGGATGAGACGAAAAACCAAGGTCTCATGTACACATTGGCGTGCACGTAAAAGATCCCTTGAAGTTGGAATTCGATATAAGAGTAAGCCGTAGTACCGCTGTCCGGGCAAAATTTCCCTCTTAGCACACTGTCTGGCGTATGCCCGTCTTCATTAGCCCAATTCAGAGCAGAACAGTACGGCCTTAAACCCCATTTCATTTCATTCTGAGCCAAGTTATTACTGTCGGTAACGCCCACAGAAAATATTTAAATTTTGGCGGTTGAACACGCTCCATTCTTTCCTTGGTTCCAACGTTTGTCTAATTGACCAATATTTGGAACATATTCTGACTAATAGCAAATTAAAAATCCCACACAAATTGTTTAAATTTTTGGCGGTTGAACACGCTTCATTATTTCCTTAGTTCCAACACTGTCCCAGAAAGGTTTCAATTGGAAACTGTTACAGCTGAGCGTTATGGTCTCTTTATTAATTAAAGTTGGTTTGATCTTGATGGTGGAGGAGAAATGGACCATGAATAAGAATGAGTCTGTGGAGACATATAGATGATATATGGCAGCATTTGCTCAATGATAAATACATCATAAATCTTGAAACTCTAGACGAAACCATGAAATATCGGACATATAATATAGTCTTATACTATTACTTTTTTACAGATGACTTACAAATATTGAATTTCCGACAAAATAAAATTGAAAGTCTCTGCTACAAGTCCTTTTTCGTGGTGCTGTCTACTTTGTAGGAACTTCAAACGTTAGAAGATATGAATTATGGTTATTTTCATTAGTACTTAGAACTTTGGCGTATTAATTGAATCACCTTATTACAGATTCTTTATCAGAGATGAGGAATATAGTTCGGTGGTCGATATTTCAAGACTCTTGATTGGATTCCTTAATTCTTATCGAAAACCCCAAAAGCAATTTTTGTAAAAGGGCAAGTTATAGGTCATTAAGTTTCGTCATATTTTGTAAAGTGGTCTATATATATATATATATTGACAGAAAAACGTCCACCGTTTGGCTAACCCGAAAGTGCTCTGTGTGGAGAGGGATTGGTAGTAGTTGAGACAGATACTGATTGAAAGAATTAAGATATACAAATATTATTTATACCATTATATCATTATCTTTCTAAAAGATATTAAATATGTCATTGTACGATGCTCAACATTTTCTTGAAGTCGTTTTTAGATATGCCATTTAGAAAATAATTCTATTCTCTGATTAGAATAAACTTACAATACAGCGATAGTTTAAACTGTAATTTTAGAAGCTACTCGTTAAAATAGGGTCAAAAAGGTAACATAGGGTCAAAAAACCAGCAACAAGGCCAAGCTGCACAATATATTTGATAAGTTCTATAAGTTGATCCAATAACAGTCCGTGACAATTTTGCAAATCACAGCTACTGGAATAAAGGAATACATGCACATACCCGTGGTTAGAAAAGTAATAGCCAATAACAATTACTACATACTGTAATTATTAAGAATTTTAAGTTAATTATCTTTCAACATATATAATAATATAGCTAAATTCATATAAAGAGCGTTCTTCTGAATAACACAATTTCAACACCATAAACAATCAATTTTTACTGTGTATTAAAGGAGAAAATTGGGTTTAAATTATCAATGTTTCAGATAATCTTTTAACAACGTCGTATCAACTCATCAACTGTACCAATGTTTGATGTTAATGTTCATGTACGTGTAAATCTAATGTCGTTTGACAGCCCTGATTACACGTTCCGGGGTGTCAATGTGGTATTTAGACTGAACGTGTGAACAACTCTTTAAGTCAGAGATATCAAAGCAGACGGGTGTTACTGAGTAGGGTAAGAATTCCACTAATGACGTTTGATCACGAGAAAGGGCGGTGTCGTAAGATAGTCTTGACCGAGAACATATTGAATTTCAGATTTGACGAACCCTTTGTTTCCGTCAAGGTGATCATTCCATATCAATTGCGATGTCTAAAGAGATTGAGAGAAATGGGGTTTAACGTCCGCTCGACACAAACTAGCTCATTTCGGGACTAACACATGGTTCAATTTTATTTCAATAATTCGTTTGCGCGTAGGGGTCTTTAGCAGTGATGTTTAATCAGAATAAAACTAGTTTTGTTTCGATAACAGTGTTTTATTCTAACAGGATATACTACTTGCATTATTTCATCCTTGAGCAAAAAACTGTCGATAGCCAATTAAAATAGCCCCTCAACAAAGAAAGTATGTCTAGTTTTTCGGATGAAACAAAAAAAATCGAAGTTCTGTTGACAAATTGATACAAGATCACTTGGGAGTTGTAATTAGAGTAGAAGGAAACATCAATGACCTGGCAACTATATGACCTTAACATAAAAGCACATTTCTTCATTGTTAACGAGCTGAACACAGGTGTTGAAAGGCAGGATTCAGATTTTTAACAAGATTTTTTAAAATGTTTTTATAACATAGTTATGGTGTATATTAATCTTAAGGTAAAATTGATACAAATGTCTTTCAACTCATGTT